TCCCCATGGAAAACCTCGTGTTGCCCTGTGCAGTCCCCCAGGAGGGATCACCAGGGGGCTCAGGGGTTGAATGGAGCAGGAATCCATCCCTGCATGGATTCCACACTCAGTGCCCGTGGGTTCCTGCTGCTGCTGGTGTGTGCCTGGCTGGGGCAGCCGAGGGCTGTTCCACACAGAGCTGGGACCATCCTGGTGCTCGGAGCTGCTTCTCTGCCGTGCCTCCAGCGTTTGGTGCTCCAGGGCAGCTCACTCCAAGCCTGGTTTTGGAAAACTCCCCTTGGTGGCAGCAGGTGGCAGGGGCACAGCAGGGAGGGATGCCCAGCACTCCGATGCAAAATCCTCCAGGTTTTCTATTTCTCTTAAGGATCTTTCCTATTTTTCCCCATCTAAACCCCTAGAAAACCTTCCTTACCTCCATGCCACATCAGGCAAATTGGGTTATTGTTAATTATTAATTATCACACTCATATTTTGCCAGATATTTTGCCTCATATTCTGCCTGCTCCCAGTGTTCCCTATAGCTGAATGGCAGTTTAGGGAAACAGTCACTCCTGATGAGGCACCCAGCCAGAGCAGCACATACAGCTTGGGAGAAGGAGTAAAACACAGTGCAAAACCCTTTATTTTGGGGAAAAAAAAAAAACAAAAAACAAAAAACAAACCCTTTTCCCAGAAGCCCTGCTCACTGACATATGGTGACACGGCATGTGCCAGCAAAGGTGCTCCAAAACATGTCCCTCTGGCTCAGGAAAGGACTTGGAGCAAAACCATTTGTGTGGGGATGATATCACTGATGGAAGGAGCAAAATCCTCCCCCTGGCTTGGCCTGAGTGTTTGTTTGGTGGCAATCAGGAGGAGAAGTGGGAGTGAGCCTTGGGATCGCTCCTTCCCTGCTGGCACAGCCGGGCACTGTCCCCCCAAGTGGGGAATGTTCCCTGCACGTGTAGCAGCAGCAGGGCAGTGGGACACGGGGTCCCCACTGTCCCCAGGCTGGACAGCCCAGAGGGAAGAGGGCGGGAAGGTTTTCCCTCTGCTGGGAGAGCCAAAGATCCTCTGGTGGCTCTCCAGGAGGTGAAGTCAGGTTTGCAGCAGTGCTGCTGCAGGGGGGTGCCAGAGGCCACCCTTGCAAGCCAGGACCTGGAAGGGGCCCATTCCAGCCACCTGGAGAGAGGATCTTCAGGCAAACCAGCTGCTTTTCCACAGAGGTGGGTCATTTTATCAGCCACACTCCTGCCTGCCATCCTGCAGCTCCTCCAGTGCCTGCCTTTGGCACCTCAACCACCACCCCAACCCAGCACGGAGCCCTGGCTCTTCCCACCAGGCTGGGATGCTGCAGCTGGAGCAGCTCTAGGAGAATTCCCATCTTTCCAGTGGCAGCAGTGAGAAAATGGCCTCGTTTCCACCAGGAATTATGCAAAGCCTTTGAATGTAGGGCTCCCAGCAGCGCAGCCCCCCACGGCCCCGTTTTGGGGAGGCTGACGGGCTCCGGGAGCTTGTTTGCCACCCTGATTAGTCAGCACTGCTAATTATAGCTGAGCTTTTCCTGCTCCGAGCTCCTCAAGCCGTTGGAGTAGCAGGGAAGAGCGGAGGTGCTGGAAGGAGGCTGGATCCGCTGGCTGCGGAAAAGGGAGAAATGGAATGTGGGGGAATGTTCCACAGCGTGGCTCTGAGCCTGGCACAGGGCAGGGAGCTCCTGCGTCTGCCAGCTCAGCCACAGCCTGCTCCCAGAGGAGTGGCAGCTGGGGTGGGTGAAGCTGGTGGGATGCTGATGGGAGGTGATGATGTTTCCCTAAAGAGGTAAAGCTGATTTTAATACTCGTGGAGGTGAAAATGGTGGAGAATTGGAGTTGTGGTTATCCCTGTGTACCACCAGTGTGCCCTTAAAGAGCAGCCCTTGTTCCAGCTTTGGTTCCCAGTGGGCTGGGCCTGGGTCACCACGTCATTAGTGGTTGCCACCCCACCCCAGTTTTAACTTGTTACCCACTTTTTTTAAAGCAAAAAAAGCACAAATTCCAAGGGAGGATGAACCCCAGGTCGAGCCCTGCACCCAGAACCCCCACAGGGCAGTGCCACAGGAAAACCTGCCTTGTCCAGCACTGAGCTTTCTCCCAAGGGCCAAAATCCAAGGAGGATGATGAGGAATGAAGGTGGGAGACTTTTTCCATGCTGAACAGCATTCCCAGGTGAGGCTGGTGGCCTCTTGCTCTGTAGTTACAGCACCAGGCTTGTGTCTTTGCTTAGCTTTGATCTTTGCTCCTCTCTATTGAGTCTGTGATTTAAATACAGATAAACTCCTATGTCTAATACAGGAATATTCCCATAATGGTCTTGCAGCTACTCAGGGAGCTCAGAACATTGAATACAACTTCAAAAAGTAGACTCTCAAGCCTTGAAAACAGGGTGTGCAGTCCTGTCCTCTCATGTGCAATGGGGCTGCTCTGGGGACAGCAAGCCCTGGTTTAAAAGGGGCCAGATAATGTCATTTTTGTCACCAGAAAAATCTCAGCATTCTTGGGGTACCCCAGCCGGTGCTTTGCCAATGCACTGCAGCCCCTTGCACAGGTGAAACCCCCAAAAATCTCATTGGAGACACGGGGCTGCTCTTCCCTGGGCAGGGGGACAAGCAGTGGCTGAAATCCACTGGGATGTGTGTATGGAAAGAGGGGTAACACCTGCCGGGGGCTGGTGTTCCTGTAGGACACAGGAAAAACATCCCGGGATTGTGGCAAGCTTGTGGTGGGATGTGGAGGAGCTGGGAGGGCAGGGGCTGCCGTGGGGCGCCGGGTGTTTGAGGGCTCGGCAGGGAGAGGGCACGAAGGGTGGGATGCTGCACGGAGCAGGGGGGCCGAGGGGTTTGGGATCAGCCGGGACCCTCTGGATCGGGCGTGTCCCTGCCAGGAGCAGCCCCAGGGGACAAGGGCCGGGTGCGTGTGCCCATCCTCGCCCAGCCCTGCTGCCGGTGCCGCGGGCTGGGGACAGCGGGGACATCCCTGCTCAGCCCCTCCGCGGCCCGTCCTGGGGGGGCTCTGCCCCCACGCCCGGCCGGCGCATCCCCGGTGTCCCCAGCGCTGCCTGCCCGTCCCGCAGCCCGCTCCTGGCCGGGGCCGGCCGGGCAGAGCCGCTCCGCCGCCTCCCTCCCCGGCCGTGCGTAATTCCCGGCGGCGGGAGCGAATTCATTCAGCTCTCGCCGGGTTCTCCGCCCCTTGCGCTGCCGCTCGGTCACGCGGGCCCAGGTAAATGAGGATTCACGTCCCGGGGATGGGGCTTGGCCCGATTAGCATCACAGATGCTCCAAATTGGGGCGGTTGGGTTCAGCCAGGATCGCTGCTGTTCACCTAAATATCTCTGCACATCAGGAGCTGGAAATCCTCCCCAGCGCTGAGCTGGCTGCTCCAGCCTGGAAGAGAGAGGGGGATGAACGAGGGAAGCTGGAGTGTTATGAAACGAGTAGGAAAAAGGGGAGAAGGTGTAGCTGAAATCCTGCGGATCCAGGAGCTGAGCATCCCTGCTTTGATGATCCTGCTCCCAAGATGAATCACGGAGCCATTTATAGCTGGAAAAATAATCGTGTCTTTGGGATTTGTTCCTTTCCAGGCTGTTCCTCTCCCAAACAGTCGGGGAGGAAGCTCTGGGGATGGGTGGGTGCTGCGGTGAGGGGGACAGATCCCATACCCAGCGTCCTTGGGCAGGTCCCGATTCCAGCGGGCTCCTCCTCATCCCAGCTTTCCGCTGGCTGGAGGGAAGCCCGTGTGGGGCGAAGGCTCCGGGGCGCGGTGTTTCCCTGTGGAGGGATGCCCCTGGCCCAGGCTGGGATCCCCGAGCAGCCTCAGCCGGTGCCGCTGTCCTGGGCATTGTCCTTGAGGAGCGCGGCCCCGGATCGCCGCCCTCCCCTCGCATCCCCGCGTCCCTCGGCACAGGCGGTAAAAATAAACCCTGCGAGCCGCCCGGGGCTGGCCGGTGCCCAAGCTGCATCCGCAGGACGCAGGTGCAGCGGGCCCGACCTTGGGGAGGTGCGCCGGGGCGGCGGGAGCTGAGGCTGATGAATGAACGGGGCGGGCGCGCCCGCGGGTGTGCGAGGGGATGTGGAGCGGGGAGCCGGGCTCGTTGTTATTCTGATCACAGCGGCTCTGATTCACAGACTTGGATCATGAATATAAGTGAAGACTTTGACGTCAGAGTTGAGATTTATCAGCAGATCCAATGGGGCAGGAATATTAAGTGCAAGTCGATGCCAGCTCTCTGCCAACGCTATTAGCGATGCTCGCCGAGGAATGAGGCTTCGCACCAAGGGCTGGAAGGACCGGCGAGGAAAAAAATAAAAACGGGGTGGGGGGAGCGAGCTGATCCTCGAGCATTAAAACCAGGTAAAACAACAACCCCCGGCGGCGCGGCTGCATGCGGGAAGGGGCGATGGTGGCGGCGGGGGATGGCAGCGGGCTGCGGGCACAGCCCCGACCTTCACACCCCGGCTGCCCACCCCGGCGTGGGGATTCACTCCTCCGGGCACGGCAGGATGCTCCGCCGGCCGGGAGCATCTCGCACCAGCCTTTTCCAAAGGAGGGAAAGGCGGGGAGGAAGGAGAAACTTAACGTAGGCTGTTCCTTGCCGCTGCCTTCTCCTTCCATCAGCGGCTCCGCATACGGGCGCTGGCCTATTAATAGTGTTTATTTTTACTCACTGCACGCAAAAAAGAAAGGGCTGCGGGAGGGGGGGGCTGAGGGGCTGCGCTATAAATAGGTAGCAAAGGTGGCCGTGCCCCGGGGAGGGGAGGAGGAGGGGGCGGCCGGTTCCTCGCCGGGTGCGCAGTGGCTGCGGACGCTGCACGGAGCCGGGCGCACGGAGGCGGCTGCGGGCAGCGCGGTGATGAGCCGTGCTCGGCCTCAGCCCGGCGGGAGATAGCGCCCAGGGGTGCGTGTGGGGCGGGGATGGGGGGCTCGGTGCCAGGGAAGCCGCAGTCGGGCTGGCGGGGATGCGGCGGGCGGGGGCGGCCCGGTACGGCGGCGCCGGGCGGCGGGGCCGCGGCCGCGGGGTCCGTGAGCCCCTGGGACATCGCGCTGTGCGCCACGGGCACGGCGGTGGCGGGCGAGAACGCGCTGGTGCTGGCCGTGCTGTTCTACACGCCGAGCCTGCGGGCGCCCATGTTCCTGCTGATCGGCAGCCTGGCGCTGGCCGACCTGCTGGCCGGGCTGGGGCTGGTGGCCAACTTCGCCGTGCGCTACCTGCTGCGGCCGCCCAGCGAGGCGGCGGAGCTGGCGGCGGCGGGGCTGCTGCTGGCCGCCTTCTCCGCCTCCGTCTGCAGCCTCCTGGCCATCACCGTGGACCGCTACCTGTCGCTGTACAACGCGCTCACCTACCACAGCGAGCGCACGCTGGGCTTCACCTGCGCCATGGTGCTGCTGATGTGGCTGCTGTGCCTGGGCGTGGGGCTGCTGCCGCTGCTGGGCTGGAACTGCCTGCGGGACCAGAGCTCCTGCAGCATCCTGCGGCCCGTCACCAAGGACAACGCGGCCGTGCTGGCCGTCACCTTCCTGCTGCTCTTCGCCCTCATGATGCAGCTCTACCTGCAGATCTGCAAGATCGCCTTCCGGCACGCCCAGCAGATCGCCGTGCAGCACCAGTTCATCGCCACGGCGCAGGCCACCTCCACCCGCAAAGGGCTCTCCACGCTGTCGCTCATCCTCGGCACCTTCGCCCTGTGCTGGATCCCCTTCGCCATCTACTCGCTGGTGGCCGATTCCAGCTACCCCGCGGTGTACACCTACTCGCTGGCGCTGCCCGCCACCTGCAACTCGCTCATCAACCCCATCATCTACGCCTTCAGGAACCCGGACATCCAGAAGTCGCTCTGGCTGGCCTGCTGCGGGTGCATCCCTTCCACGTTCTCCTCCAGACCAAGGACATCCAGCGACGTGTGAGGACTGAGCACGGAGCCAGAGGTGCTCGCTGGCTCTCCTGCTCCTTCTATTTCCCCCCTCTGTCGTTATTGTCTCCTGCCGGGAGGAGTCCCCTCCCCGGTCAGCACATCTCGTTTCATGGAAAGATGGCCAAAAAGAGAGAGAGAGAGAGAAAAAAAAAAAGGCAAAAGAGAAAAGGAAAGAGAGAGAGTAGAATGATAATGGTTTCCTTTAGAAATGTTATTTTCTTACACATTTTATTTTTTATTTAAAAACACAAAACACCAAAAAAAAAAGAAAGAAAGAAAGAAAAAAAAAGACAAAGCAAAGCAAAGGGATCCTCGCACGATGGCGTTTGTCTGCTCTCGGGGTAAGGAGCCAGGGGAGCAGCGGGGGGTCCCACATCCCATGGGAAGCCACAGGAGGGGGGCGGGCAGGGAGGTGTCGCGTCCCCCGGCGGGGCTGGTCCCCACGCGCGGGGTTGCCTTGCCCACCCCCGCATTCAGGGCCTGCGATGCTATGCAATAAAGGGGAGGAGAGCTCGGCCCGGGGAGCGCGGGCAGCGGAGCCGGGCACTGCTGGGGCTGGAGCAGCTTGGAGGAGCTGCGGCTGGAAGACACTCTAGGTGTGGCTGTCGCAGGGGTGGGGGCGCCCAGGGAATCTTTCCCTCTTTCCCCCCCCACCTCCCCCCGAAAATGTGGCCGGGGCAGCGCCGGCGAGGTGAGGGCAGCGGGGGTGCCCTGCACCCCAAAGCCGGGAGGCCAAGGAAGGGCTCTCCGTGTCCAGCCGGGCAGTGGGGTGCTGCTTCCCCCCCTTCCACGCGAGTTGTTTACATGGGGTGGGGTTTTCATCCAAAGAGGGCTCCGGCTTGCTGGAGTCCCCGAGAGAGGAGCCTCTGTCACCGCGGTGTCGTTGCTGATGCTGCCGCTTTACCTGGGAGAAGCGCCAGCCCCGACACCCCCGTGCTGTGTGCCGTGCTTTGTGGTGTCCGTGAGGCCGCGATGAAGTGTCCTTTTTCCTGTGCTTGCTTTTGGCCGGGAGGTGGAATCGTGCATTCACTGACAGAGGAAGGGAGACCCCAGCAAGCCCCCGAGAGGGGGCAGGGCCGGGGTGGGACACCCGGGGTGGCTCCGGGCACAGGGGGGTGCTGCCCGGGGTCCTGGCATGGGGGGCTTGGGACACCCTCCAGCAGCTGGGTCTGGTACCCAAATATTCTGCTTTGCTGTAGAGAAATTGTTGTGATGTTGGAGAGGGACTCGGGCAAAGGTGAGCAGTGACAGGACACAGGGAACGGCTCCCACTGCCAGGGGGCAGGGATGGGTGGGATATTGGGATATTGGGAATCAGGAATTGTTCCCTGTGAGGGTGGGCAGCCCTGGCACAGGGTGCCCAGAGCAGCTGTGGCTGCCCCTGGATCCCTGGCAGTGCCCAAGGCCAGGCTGGAGCAGCCTGGGACAGTGGGAGGGGTCCCTGCCATGGCAGGGGGGGCACTGGGTGGGCTCTGAGGTCCCTCCCAACCTGTAACATTCCGTGAGTCTGTGATAGTGGAAGAAATGTTCTTGCTGTGTGTGGCTGCAGAGGGTACAGAGGCACTTTCTGGCTGGGTACAGGCAGATCCAGGTGGGTTTTGTCCCTGGGTCTGTCAATGAATCTCTGGCTCCTCGGAGCTAAGTGCACAAGAGAAAGCTCTGAGGTTCCCAAGGGTGCCTGGGCTTGGACTTTTTGTCTGCCTGTGAGAGGTGGCCAGTCTTGGAGTTTTTATGTTTTGTGGGTTTGGGGTTTTTTTTCCATTTCCTTTCTCTGATGAATACCTTGGAGAATGGGCAGTTGGCACAATGTGGAATCAGTGTAAGTTTTAAAGTAAATATATATGTAAGACTAATATTTATACAAACACTTTACTCATTCTGTTTCTTCTGGTTTCTTAAGTGCAGCAAGGTCCCTGCAGTTCCTCAGTGTGAAAACTCAATAGCTTAAACCCTTTTTGAAACATTGTGAACATTTGAAATGTTTTTATACAACACCCTAGCTAGAAGTCAGGATTTGTTTCTCTGGGCAGCTCATTTTGTATCTTTAGATGAAAGGTAGTTTAACTAATCAGCTCCAGAGAAACCTTGGCACAAAAAAAAGTTGCATTTTCTTGGCTTACCAGTAAATTCCCCCTTGCTGAAGAGCTTGATTTTAACAATGTTCTTTTTGGAGTTTAGCTGCTTACATAAAATGTGTCTCAGTTTGAGGGATACACTGGTAAACTTCACCAAAGTCAAATGAGGATCAATGAAAAAAATTCTCCCTGTGATTCTTTTCCACAGCAAGAGGAGAAAGATTTGGGATGTGAGGAGCTGAGCTGAGGACACAGCCCCTGCCAGAGTGAGGTTAAGGGCAGGTGGGGCTGTCCTCCCTGGGGCTCACCCAGACACTTTTAGAGCCCCTTTGGCAAAGGCAAACTCTGAGTTCTGGTCCCTGAGTGCCCCGACCCAGCTCACAGTCAGCTCCAGGATGTGGCACGAGCCTATTCCATGCTCAGAATTCCTGTAAAATAAGGATCTCATTTCTTTTTGTGCAATGGTCTAGCACCTCTCTCTTTGGGATGTTAAAACTGCCCATGGAAGCTGCTAAAAACTCTTGTCAGGTTTCAGGAAAAGTCTTAAGAAATCTCCTCTAAAAAAAACCCATTTTGATAAATTGGCATTTTTACAGTCATTCCCCTAAATAAAAATAGTGCAATTTCCAGGTGTTGTTTTTGCTGTTTTTCCTCTCCTGTTTTATCAGAGGAAATGAGGAGAAGTGAAGAAGAGGATAAGGAGGTTTAGGTTCACCTGCCACGCGTTGCCTTGTGGAAACCTCTGACCATTTTACTGCACCTTTCCTGCAGAGCTTTGCCTTTGTTTTGGTTTTGTTTGCCATAGAGAAAACCTTTTACTGGGAAACTTTGGAGTGGCAATGTTGGACATCAGGGGCTGATGGATTTTGGAGCCTCCCCATGCTGAACTCCAGGAAAGCTGATTTAAAACCTGAAATCGCTTGCTGAGGCAGCCTTGCTGTGTGCAGGGTGGGAACGTCCTGGTGCTTGGGGCTGATTTTGGGGTGTTTAGGATGGAATTCAGGGCTTTAGGATGGCGTTCTGCTGCCATAAAGAGGGAGCAGCTCCCATGAATGTGATGGAATCCCATGTGGATGAGGCACCAGTGGTGAGGGAACCACCAAAAGCAAAATGGGGTTTCCTGCTGGTGGATGCTCTGTGGATTCCCTGAGGATCCAAAACTCGGTGAAAAGAGCCCAGCAGCCCCTCTCCACCTCCTGGGCACCACCAGAAGGACACAGAGCAACTGGAGTACATCCAGTGCTCCACGTTTCCTGGTGCTGGATGTGCTGGGAGGCCTCCTCCACCTGGGACTCTGTATCTCTGTAAAACTGAGGGCTCTGGAAGCCTCTGATTTAATGACTGTGCTTTTCAGCTGAGACAAGGGAACGGTGGCAGTCCTGCAAAGCACGGGGTCTTTGGCTTGTTGGGAATTTGCAGATGTCCTCTGATGTCCACAGAGTCCCCCGGGTGGGAGCTGGAGCTGCCTGGGGAGGGCTGCTGCTCTTTGGTTGGGAAGGACTCCCTGTCCTCACCCTGGCCAGGACCTTGCCACTGCATCTTCAAACTCTGAGCTTTTGATAAAGGATGAGAGGCCAGAGCCAGGCTGGGATTGGACTCTTGTCACTTCTGGACTCTCCAGCAGCTGGTTTGGATCCACAGCAGCAGAAATGGGCAGAGAACTGGTCCTGAGTAATTACAGGTGGCATCCAACCAGCCCTGAGCCTGCGGCAGGGATTAACACAGCCAGGGAAATGAATCTGTGCTTATTTGCTGATTTATTTACAGGTTTCTGGGTGCCTTTGGCTTTTCCACCACGAGCTGGTGGCCAGCAGAATGTAGAGGTGAAAAGCTTTTGGTGCTGGTGCTTGGCTGGTTGAGTGGAGAGGGCGAGGAGGAAAGAAGGAGCAAACATTCCTCAAATACACTGTGACAAGGCCAGGGCCACCGTGGGGTGGGATGTAACCACAGCTGCCCTGAGGTTCGTGGAGATGTGCCAGGGCTGGGGGGAGCTTGTGCATTTACAACAAGCTCTCGTCCCTGCCCCAGCATGAGAAATTAAAAAAAAAGTACAAAAAACCCTATTAAAATGTATAAATTCTACCAACAAAGCTGCTTAGTTTTATTTTGGGCTTTGTTTCCTTTTTTCCTTTTCCCTTTTGGTCAGTTTGGGACTCTGAGCAGTGAAAATGTCTCTCTTTAACCAGCTTCATGTCAGTAACCAGCAGTAAAGATTCCAAGGTCTCAGTCCTGATGTGGCAGCTCCAGTCTGCTCACATCAAAGAGTTTTAATTGAACCTGGAATGAACCCCCAAGAAACCATTACTGTTCTCATTAGGTGATGAAGTATCTCTTTCTTGTAAAAGCATCAAATTTGGGGTGGGCAGACCTTTTAAAAGGCCATTGGTACTCACTTGTATTGGTGTGTCCTGACCAGCATCAAGACCCACATCATTGCTAATGAAGAATTAACAGTTCACTTCTAATTGTCGGGAATAATTGTTGGATGCACATGGTATTTCCTTGTAATTCCTCAGCCTCCCCTCGTGGTGAGGTGAGGCAGCTCCACTTGGACCCTCTGTAGCTCTTCTGTTGTCAGTGCAGCTCCCCCTGCAAGACCCCCCCAGCGCCCCAACCTGTCCCTGGATTCCAGGGAACAGAGCTCTGCCATTCCCTGGAAAACTGCAGCACAGAGCAGCACAGAGAGGAAAGGGGCTTTTCAGCAGGAACACCCCACTCTGAGGGCGGTGTGGGGCCCTTCAGGCCCTGCCTTGGAGGGGTGTGAGCTGTCTCCAGCTCCTTCAGGAATCCTGCCTGGAGCAGCCAGCAGCTGAGTGGGCTCCAGGGTGATCCCTCCCTGCTGAGGGGCACTGACAGCACCTCGTGTCCCTGGCCACTGACACCACAAGCACAGGTTTATGGTCTCACTGCAGGCTCTGGGAGCTGGAAAACAGCTGGAAAACAGCTGGAAAACAGCTGGCTCCTCCCAGGAAATTCCAGCTGGGCAGGGGCTCCAGCCCTGGGCGCTGCAGCACAGGGACAAGGACGGGCTGCAGGCTGCTGTCCCTTGGGAGCAGGTCAGAGCACACCAGCCCCAGGATAAAGAGCGTCCTCCCGGGACAGGGAACCCTCCAGCCCCCAGGCAGGGATGAGTTCCTGGTGGCCAAGCCCAGCAGGAACCCCGGCAGAGGCAGAGCCTGCTCCGTGCTCACCCCTGGGGCTCCTGCCACAGCACAGACCAGGGGAATCAATCACCCCATTCCCTGCCACCTGACCTCCCAGGAACGAGGCCACCCCACAGCAGTCAGGACAGCGCCTTGTTTGCTGTCAGTGCTGTCGTGAGCCTTTAAACTTGGCTGGGAAAGCTGATCTCAAAGGAAATGTACAGTTATCATGCAGTTATGGTCAAATCAAGCCCCTTCGATGCACTTTATGAACGAGTGAAAACAAATCAATGCTGTTATTGCACTGTATCTCTATTGTGTATAATATTATACATTCATCTGTAAGAGTAATTTATTTTTATTACTGTAAATAAAACTGTTAAAGTGATTTGTCAAGAGGTTCTCCAAAAATCTGGGGAGGGGGCGTGGGGTAAAATTAAAACCTTTGAAGATCTGGGCTGCTGTCCCAGGTATGTGCCATGCTCTGTGTGTTTGTGTTTTTATTTCAGAGTCCAGAGCAGGTCTCTGCCTTCCCTCACCGGGATCTCTGTTTCCCCTGGGATCAGGAGGAGCTGGATGAGCACAAGAGCTGCTGGAGACACGGAGGGGTTGGGAAGGAACAGCTCCTGCTGCTCCTCCAAGCACAGACAGAGCTTCCCCTGCCCTCTGATTGCCCAGGCAGTCAGGGATTAAACACCCTGGGGAATTAACTGATCTTTGAGGGCTTGATTCTCCAAATGAGGGTTTTTAGAGAGATCACAGCTTTCTGCTGCTCCTTCCATGCCCCGGCCTCGAACAGAGCAGGGAGCATCACAGGGCTGATTAACTCACAGCAAAGCACAAGCCGACAAAAAGCCAAACCCAAATCTACTGTAACCTCTTAAAATCTTTATTAATTCTTTTCCTTTTTTTTTTAAATTTTAAATTTAATTAGCACATGCATAAAGTGTCAACAGTTTGGGGTTAAGATGACATTTCTTGAACAAATGTAGTTACAAGCGGTGCCTCGGACCGATCCAGGTTTCCTCTCTACCCTGTACAGAAGGAAGCTCGAGGTCATCCCTGCCTTTCCATCCTCGTGTCACCACAGGCAGAACCCACAACACTGGGGAGAAATACACTTGTTCACACGTAGCAACTGGGTAGGGGAGATAGATACGGGCAGCAACATCTACTCACCTACTGACTAAGGGCACACGGTTACAGACCCCACAGACAGCGAAATCTCCTTCCTCAACTCAGCCTTGGAGCAATGGGAGCCTCTCATGGCCTGGAATGGGTCACCCTCCCTTGGGAAGGTGCCTGTCCTGCATCAGCTCCTCCTACCAGGTGGCAAATCTAAGGAGACAGAGTAATTCTTCTGCTGTGATTAAAAAAGGAGCCTTTTGCAGGAGCGTTGGGATGCCGAGGTGTCCCTGTCCCCTCTGTGCCACCCCTGCACAGCTGGGGCCAGCCCCCACAAAGAGCAGCCCCAGCTCTGCCTCTGGGCTCTGCGTGTGACCAGCTGGTGCCAAAAGGAGAGAAAACTGCTTTTGAAATGCCCACCTGGAGCTGGCTGCTCCTGGATGCTCAGTTTTGGGAGGATGGATGCCCCAGTGCTCCAGGAGGTTTTCTGAGCTCAGGGCTTGGGTGGGGCAGAGGGGTTTGGGGGCTGAGGTGCCTTGATCTGCAGGGCTCAGGAGATGATGCTCACCCGCCTTCAATTCCCTCCAAAATAACTCTCCTGGCCTCACCCAGAGGTGTCAGGGCTCCTGCTGGCTCCAGAGAGGATGGCAGCTGGAAGGAGGAGGAGGAGGAGGAGGAGGAGGAGGAGGAGCACAGGGGTGACAGGGTCTGTCCCCTCCCCACACCTCCCACGTCCCCTGGGGACTGTCCCCGTGCCTCCAGGCTGCTGCAGCAGCTCCTGGGGCTGGCCAAGAGCGGGGTGAAAACTGCTCCCCGAGACACTCCTGGGGAAGGAGGGATCCCAGAGGATCCCCCGGGCTCTGGGCAGCTCCAGGTGTCCACCCAGCTGAGCCCTGCCCCCCCCAGCCCAGGAGGCTCCCTGGCAGGGCCACAGGGACCCCCAGGAAAGGCACTTGTGTCACCAGGAGCTGCCCTGGCCCCGTGGTGCTCCCAGCAGCAATTCTGGATGCCAGCCCTCCGTGTGGCTGGGGGCAGAGGGAGGAAGGTGCCAGCACAGCCCAGCGTCACCCCAAACTCACACCCTGCTTCAGGTCCCCCCAGCAAGTCAGGCAGCCCCAAAATTAAGGAAGTCTCTTAAGGTGAGGAGCCATCAGCCCTAAAAGGCCCTGAAGATGCACTTTGAATAAAAAGGTTTTTTAAATTTGTGAGGATTTGAGCAGGTGGGGTGGGACTTGGTCTCCAAATTTGTGAGGATTTGAGCAGGTGGGGTGGGACTTGGTCTAGTGGAAGGGGTCCCTGCCCTGGCAGGGGGTGGAAACCAGACTGGAAATCCAAACAGTTCTGGGAGTCTGGGATTTGCTTTCTTTACCTGCTCTGCTCTGACCTGAGACAAAAAAAACACCAGAAAGAGCAGCCCCATTTGTGGAAAACCAGCCAGAGCTACAGACAGAGCTGGAACATCTCAGTGTAAAATTGAATTGGAGGGGAGCAGTGAGGGGGGTGCTGATGCTCATGGCTGTGAATTTTGGAGCCCTGGCAGGGCTCTGCCTGAGCTGCTCCTGCTGCCAGGAGGAAATCACCAGCAGCTCTCCACGGGCAGCACAAGAGTGCCCCTGGCCCCACGTCCTCTCCCTCTTTAACACAAGATTTTTGTGGTTTTTCCATGGCAAGAAGTGATTTTCCATGGAGTGAGCAATCCCAGCACCAGGATGGCACCAGCACCAGTGAGAGGTGAAAATCAATGGGATTTGAAACTCTTGAGCTGGGGAGGGGCCTCCAGGGGTGAAAGCACCTCCTGTAGTGGCAGGAAACCCTCTCCTTGCTGCCTTGGGGTGATGTGATTATTGCTTTTCCTTAAACACCAGTTTCCTGGGGTTTTTGGAAGTGCTCCTGGTGGCACCTGCTTCATTCTGTTGCTGACTGACTGGGAAGTGTTGCTGTGTCTGACCTTCCCTCTAGGTCTGAGGGATGGAAAGGGAACAGTTTATCCTTCTGGAAATCACATGTGAGCTGTTTGTTTGCTTTTTTGTTTTGTGGGTGGGTTGTTGGGTTTGGTTTTTTTTAATTTGCTTATTTTTAGATATTTTTTTTTTTACATTTTATTTTTAGATTTCTCAACTGAGCTACCCCCAGTTAAAGGGTAAATGTTAAATTGTCCACCTTGATGGTTTACTCACTACAGTCTGTGGATGATGGATGGTCCAGAGGAGCTGCTGCCTTCTAACCACTGAAATACAGCAGAAGCAGCTGGGAGCTCACACCCTTTCCTCTCAGTGCTGGTTCTGCAGCACATTTTATCTTTATTCTCCTTCAGGCTCAGCACCAAAACCAAGGGGGAGCAGAAGCAGCTGCCCTGGGGCTGTAACCCACCCTTGGGGGGACAGAGCCCCAGGGAGGGGATGAGGGAGAATTACAAACCAGAAAGGCCCTGTGGGCACCCCCAGCACTCCCTGGCTGCACACAAGGCCAGAGCTTCCCTCTGGCCTTAAACCCTCAAAGCCATGGCAGAGCCCCTGTGACCTGAGTTTCTCCATCCTCACCTCCAGAAACTTTCCTGAGACCTGGCTCAGCTCCTTCCTGCCACAGCTCAGTCCCACACTGACCTGCAGAACAGATTTAGCCCCTCTTTGCTGCCCTTGGTGGCCTGGCACAGGGTTTCACCTGACTGAGGTTTCTCCTGTGCAGGCAGATGTGAGCATGACCAACCTGAAACGCTGGGCTGGTTCCTTTCTGCCTTTTTATTTCCTCTCTGCACTCTTAAGCTCATACAGAACCAAGAGCTGGAATTACCACTGAGCAGTAGCAGCGTGCAGGGAAAGGCTCCTTGCACACCACTGGGGCTCACAACAACCAGCAAGAGCTTTAATCCTGCTCCTGGGAGGAGGGAGAGGTGGGGAAGATCCCTGCTGGAGGATGCCCAGGGGAGGGTGAAGCAGCAGTGCTGCTGTGGTGGCCTCAGGGTCCTGTCAGCCTGTAATTCAGACACCACTTTGGGTCCTGTCAGCCTGTAATTCAGACACAACTTTGGGTCCTGTCAGCCTGTAATTCAGACACCACTTTGGGTCCTGTCACATCAGCTCTGCCCTCAGGGGACGTTGTCCATGCAGCTCCTGCCTGGGGTTTCCCTCTGCAGGAGCCCTGCCCTTGCTGCAGGCTCTGCCCCAGCCTGGTGACACCACCAGGGTGGTGACAGCACCCTGGGGACATCCTCGTGTCCCACCCTGCCTGTGGGCACAGCTCTGAAGGTTTTGAGGCAAACACCTCCTCCCTGAAGTCCTTAACTCCGGGGTTTGGTTTGGGTTTTTTATTCCCTCCACCACCAAAACACAGGCACATTTTTCACCTGGAGGAGGTGGAGCTGGACAGAGCGAGCCTAAAAACCCTGGGGTTTGTCCAAGAAAAATCAGATTGACACAGAAAAACAACCCCTTTGACTCTCAAAAAGATGGAACCACTTCAAAGTCTGGGTTTGGGTTGTGAGTGTCTGGAAGAGGAGGCTTTCCAGGGGCTGTCCCAGGGTTGGTGACAGCCCTGAGGGTCACTCAGGGGTGCTCCAGGCACCACTCCCAGCCCAGCCGTGGCCATCCCAGGGAGCACAGCAGGGAAAGGCCCCCAGGGGCACAGGGACAAACCCAGCAGGGCTCGGCTCTCCTGGGCTTTGCTCAGGCACTTCTGCATGGGGAGTGGGGCAGGAGAGCCCCGGGGGCTCTGTCACCAGCAGCGACATGGCTGGGGCTGGTCAGGGGTCACTAAGGAAGGGACAGCTGCCCTCAGGGGGCTGCTGCCCAGTGGAGGGGAAATTCATGGGTGAGTGAGCATTTGAGGCTTCTAAAGTGCAGTGCAGGTTACATGGTCTTTGCTGTAGACTGTAAACTCCTCAGGACAGACTCCTTGCCCTTATTTTTGTTTTTATTATTATTTTTTTAATCTGTAAAGTGACATTCCAGCTGAGAAAACCTTACCCCTAAATAACTACTGCTACAGGAAAAACAGGAATATTGGTGAAAGGAACAGCCTGTGCTCCCCTTGCCAGCATCCCACCACGGGGAGTGCCTCCCAGGGCCGTCCCTGCTCCATCCACGAGGAAGTGGCACAGAATTCCTGCCAGCTGGGGACCTCTGGAATGCCCCCTCCAAAATGCCACCTCCAGTGTCACCACCTGCCTCCCTCCAAGCAAAACTCCCTTTTGTCATTAAAGCTGAGGTGTTAGTTCAGGCTCAGGGGAGTCTGCAAAGCTTCTGTCCAGGCTGTTGGGTGTCTGGGAAGGGAGAGAGGTGGAAAAGAGGCTGGGAGGAAATTTGAGGGCTCTTGTGTGGAAAGAGCTCTGTGAAGAAGCCAAGTTCAGCCTTAAGTTTGCCACTGGAGTAAAACCTTCCCAAGATGGAACAGCTGCAAAGGCAGGAGCCCTGGTGGGATGGGTGATTGCTCCTCTCTAGGTCTCCTCCCTGGGTGGGGAATTAGAAACCAGAGACTGCCCAATCCATTCCTCCTGCAGGCCACTGATCCTTTGAGAGCCACCAGCCAGCTGCAGTGGTCACCCCAAAGCAGGGAGACACAGAGGGAACTCTGCAGGGCTCCCCCCATCCCCAGCCCCCCGAGAGGACCTCCTGCACCCTGGGGTGGCTTCACAGCTGCACCACGGGCACAGGGCTCCCTCTAAAGTCCCTTTTCAGACGCACCTGGGATGTCCAAGAGGTTCCTGAGGGACCTCAAGGGTGACAGCCTTCCACTGACATCTCCAAGCAGAGCCAAGATTTACTCATTGACTGTTCCACTGACTCCAGCCCACCCCGTTTGTATGGACACAGGATATTTCCCCCTGCTGTTGACAGCCATATTTATTATTTTTAATCTATGCCCATAAATTGGCAAGTAGGGGGAAGCAGATAAAATGGAAAGAGGAGCTCTCAGGAGATCAGTTGGACTCATTAAATGTTTGGCACTCTGTGATTATCCTTTGGCAATGAAATGCCACTGCTATATTTCAGCAGGGAACACGATACCTTAATGTACAGGAGAATCTCCTCAGCCCAATTCTGGCACTCTTGAGAGAGGAGAAATTCAATCATCTGTGACCTGGATTGTATTTTTTAATGTCTGCCAAGCTAGATAAAATACTTAAATATTCACTTTTATATCAGCCCACATGAGGATTTGAGCATTTCAGGTTGTGTAACTCAGCATGGCCTACTTTGGGGGGAATGTACAGAAATAGGCACAAATGTACAAACCACTGAGCGTGCAGCATGTGGGGCAGACAGACAGTGTTAATTAGTGTGGCACACTCCCAGCAGCACCACCCAGAGCAGCCAAGGAATTGGTGTCACTTCTGTTGGATTGCAAAGGTCACCTGAGCAAAAAGCAGGTGATTCTGCCTCAAAGAGAGGTGGTGGAGCGTGGCTGAGTCCCTCAAGGGAAGGCACTGAGGATGGAATGGCTCTCATGGGACTGCGGTGTTAATGCTCCAGTGTGGAAATCCTGCAGGTCCAATCCCACCCGAATGATTCCTGGTGCTTCCCTGCCCTGTGGGGCTGCTGGGAGGGTTGGCAGGAGCTGGGTGTGCCATGGCCAGACCAGGAATGGGTGTCCAAACCCCCCTGAGGGCACTTCTCCAGCCAGACACATCTCTGGGGTGGGGATGGGGAATCCCACCCCTGCTACCAAGAGAGCTGAAGGGTTCCCATGGCAGTTCTGGTCCCTGAAGAGGAGGGTGGGGATGTGTCCCACCAGCTGGCAGTGCTGGCAGGTCGTGGTGCTGCTGGCTTTGCAGCTGGGAACGTGAGCTGGGTTTGTGCTCTCAGGGATTTCCCTCAGCAGAGCAGGATGCCTGGGGACATGCTGGGATGGGGGCTCTTACACCACTGGGGACATTGGTGGTGTGAGGAAATGGGGGTGAGCCTTTCCTGCCCCCCTGGGGCTGCCAGCTGGGCAGATGTGGCCTGAGTGACCCAAATGACCTTTAGGGTCCCTCCCAGCCTTCCTGTGATTGTCAAGCACTCAATCCTGGCAGCTGCCAGTGCCAGCAGGGGTGCTGTGAGGTGACAGGACCTGCCACACAGCCACAGAGCCCTGCCCCAATTGCACGGCCCCATGTGACACACACAGCAACTGGTGCATGAAAAGGGACTCGGTCCTGCAGGGGCACTGGGCTGCCCTCAGCTCCCACCAGGACTGGCTCAGCTCTGCAGAACTGGGACATCACAGAGCCAGGGATGTCCCCTGTGTCCCTGAGCCCCTCCCCAGGCTCCTCAGCTCTGCTGGGTCCCCACAGCCACTCTGCAGCCCCTCCACCTCTGGAAGAGATAAGAGCAGCTCCACCAGCCCCTGATATTTTCTCTCTCTCACAAAGGGCTATTACCCTTCCTAAATAAACCAAATTTCTCTTCTCTTACACATGGTTTTGTGATTTTATCTACGTTAGTAACGCTCCACCAGAAACTCCACCTTAACTGTTGCCCTGAATTTTTACTCTGCCTCCTCCTGAACCTGCTCCAGCCAAACCCCAGCTGCCTTCCCAAGGAAAGCAGGTCCTGAGCACTGCAGGGGCTCTGTAAAAAGCTCTTGCAGCCATTTCCCTGCATCTCAGAGGGTCAAAACCAGAATCAAGAGCTCTCAGTGTGCACCAGGAATGCCCTGGTCACCTGCAGGGCACGGTGCCTCCCTGCTCCTCTGGTCACTCCTGCTCCTTGGGTTTTGCAGATGAGTTATTCCCTGTATCCTGTTGCTTCTTGCCTTGCCCTCTCCCACATCCCACATCCCAAATCCCTCCTGCACCCCTGCTCAAGCCCACTCAGCAGCACAGCTCCCAGCCTGGGTGTGGAAGGTGTCACATCCAAGGGACAAGAAACCATTTTGTGCCCCTCAGGAGAAGGGAGGGCTCCTGGGGCATTTCCCAGCAGCTGGGCAGAGGGTTCACCACACCTGGCCATGAGGGTTTGTCACTGGGGGCAAATGAGCAGATGTTTGGGACATTGCTCAACACCAGCACTTCCCAGGAAATCAGCAACCTGCTCTAGTGGAAAGTGCCCTTGGCAGGGGGGTGGAATGAGATGATGTCTTTAAGGTCCCTTTTATCCCAGACCATTCTAGGATTTTGTGAATTTAACCATCAGCATTTGGGTCTCCACACCCTCCCACCTCTTCTACAGGTCTGGCTGCTTCTACATAGCCAAAATCCTGCTGAAGCAGCCATCACCTGCAGGGCTACTGGGAGGGGCAGAGAACTGGGCACAGAGCTCAGGCTTTGCCTGTTCAGGGTCTCGTGATACAGGGGAACACAAGAGGGGGTCTGGGGACACCACACTGGCCAATCCACAGCTGGTCCTGGCCCGTTTTCCACAGGTGGGGAACCTCTCCCAGCCCTCTGCAGGTTTTATTGCCTGTGATATTTCCAGTATTTCCCACCCCTTTGTTCTGCCTTCTTCCGTGCCCCCTCCTTTGTAGCTCTGTGAAAAGTCTTCCACGGGTCACGCTCTGTTTTGATGGGAAAGCAGGTATTTTCAGTGCTGAAACAGGTATTTTCAGTGCTGAAACAGGTATTTTCAGTGCTGAAACAGGGGCTGGTCACCCAGCTCCTCCATCAGTGTCCATACCTGGGACAGGGGAGGGAGCAGGATCAGGTAGGGGGAATCAGTGCCTCATCTCAATTGTACAGGCACAGTTTGTGGGGCTGCAAAGTGCAAGTTGAGAGTTTACCTGAAAGCAGCAGATTGTCTGATTCACTTTTTCCCAAATCACACTGAAATGGTGGCATGCTAAGGCCAAGGAGAGCTGGGCTTGTGGGAGCTCCCTGGACATCTCTACTCCTTCACTGGAAAAGGCAGGACAAGCCCAGACAAGGCTGGGTCTCCCTGCCAGCCACTGCAGCCTTGCCTTTCCCCTTTGCTCCTAGAAAACCAGCTCTGAGGGTGGATACAGGCTAAGGTCACCAACACCTCAGGCTGCTCATGCTGCCTGGTCTGGTGGAGGGTGTCCCAGTCCTGGCTGGACTGGATGGGCTTTAAAGGTGCCTTCCAACCCAAAGCATTCCATGATTTTCCAGGGAGCAACAACACAGGGGTGTGACTGCTACTAAACGTGGTGGAAGGAGGCTCCTGCCCACACACAGCCTTTGGAGCTGCCTGGCCCCAGAACCACCAGCAGCAGTGTCCCCAAGCCCACCCCTGGGCTCCCGTGGTGGCACCAGCTGTGCAAACAAGGCTTCTTCTCCAGGAGCTTCTCGTTATCACAATTAATATTTAGCTGGAAAAGCACTGCTGCCTCTGGGGCTCCCTTCTCCCACAAAGCACACTCAGGGCCAGTCTCCGCTCTTGCTCCAGGTGCAAATCCGGAGTAATCCCATTAACCTGCCTTCAGAGAATTTTGGAAGTCATTAACTGTGAAGGTGCTGCTAATTTCTGGTCTCACTGCCTCCGAGGTGTATCCTACCAGTGCTGCTGCTGCTGCTGCCCGAAGGGTTTTGGACATAGTGTAAAAGCAAAGCTCCTGACCGAGCGGGGCCCCCTCCCGCCGGCAGCGACCTTGGGGAGGTGCCCACACACACCTGGAGCAGAGCTGGAGCCCCGAGCCCGCCCAGCCCGGGGCCCTCAGTCCGACCACTCGTTATCGTCCAGCTCGGAGTCGTCGTCGGACTCGCTGTACTCCACCGCGATCCGGCGCGACAGGATGGTCGCCACGTCATTGCCCACGGGCTCTTTCTTGGCCTCTTGTTCCCACTGCTCCTGGACCTTCCGGAGCTGGATTCCTACAGGAAAGGGGGGAGGGCTTCAGGGGGGAGTGCACCCAGTGTGCAGCATCCCCCCCATTGGAAAGTATTGGCTGAGACAAGAGGGCGGCTGCTCTGGTGGTTACAAAGTTAAATGGGATGATAGGATAGGGCTGATAGGACAAGAGGGAATGGTTGTAAACTGGGAGAGAGTGGGCCCAGACTGGATGTCAGGAAGAAATTCTTCCCTGTGAGGGTGGGCAGGCCCTGGCACAGGTTGCCAGAGTCGGAGTCGTCGTCGGACTCGCTGTACTCCACCGCGATCCGGCGCGACAGGATGGTCGCCACGTCATTGCCCACGGGCTCTTTCTTGGCCTCTTGTTCCCACTGCTCCTGGACCTTCCGGAGCTGGATTCCTACAGGAAAGGGGGGAGGGTTTCAGGGGGGAGTGCACCCAGTGTGCAGCATCCCCCCCATTGGAAAGTATTGGCTGAGACAAGAGGGCGGCTGCTCTGGTGGTTACAAAGTTAAATGGGATGAGAGGATAGGGCTGACAGGACAAGAGGGAATGGTTGTAAACTGGGAGAGAGTGGGCCCAGACTGGATGTCAGGAAGAAATTCTTCCCTGTGAGGGTGGGCAGGCCCTCGCACAGGTTGCCAGCAGAGCTGTGCCTGTCCCTGGATCCCTGGCAGTGCCCAAGGCCAGGTTGGACAGGGCTTGGAGCAGCCTGGGACAGTGGGAGCTGTCCCTGCCCAGGGCAGGGGGTGGAATGGGGTGAGCTTTAAGGTCTCTTCCATCCCAAACCATTCTAGGATTTTATGAGTATCTATGATAGAATAAAGCTCCTCCTCTGCTTCCACTCAGCCTGAAGATACTGAACCTTCTGAAAGGTTAAATTTACGATTTGACCTGGAGATTTGCAGGAAGGGGAAATGAGAGAGACCTTGGAGCACATCATCCACTACGGCCTGGGAGGAAGCCACACGCTGGGAGCCGCCAGCAATCCCTGGGGCTTCACTCCACCTCCAGCCATGGAGGGCGTATTTACCCTGCCTTTATTCCCCGGCGAGGCCCCGCCACCCTCACCCACCCCGCGGCCACCCAGCGCTCATCCTGCCCTCGGTGCGGCCGGTGCCCCCCAGCTCTGCTCTGCCCCGGGGCTCGGGGTGCCCGCACTCACCCCTGCGGATGGCGGCCAGCAGGTCGCTGCGGGCGTCGCTCATGGGCATCAGCGGGACCTGCGGCTTGCGCGGCTCGGCGGCGGGCGCGGGCGGCGAGGCGGAGTGCGCGGGCGAGGCCGACACGNCCAGGGGGCCGCTCTGAGGCGGCGAGGCCGAGTAGGGCCCGGGCGGCGCGGGGGGCGGCGACGGGGCGTAGGACGGGGCCGCGGCCGAGCCGGGGGCCAGCGCGGGGGGAGCCGAGATGGGGCTGTCGAAGGCGGTCTGCGCCGAAGGGATGACGGGCGGCGGCGGCGGCGGGGCCGGCGGCACGAAGTACTCGGCCATGGGCACCGGCTGCGGGCTGCGACGGGGGCACGGGGGTCAGCGCCACGGGAAGCACAGAGCCCGGGGGTGGCCGAGTCATCCAGGCCACTCCCGGAACATCCCAGCAGGCCCACCCTGGGCACCCCTGGGAGCTCTGTCCAAACGCTCCCGGAGCTCCGGCAGGTTTGGTGCTGGGGCCATTCCCTGCGGAGCCTGCTCAGGGCCCCACGACCCTCTGAGGGAAGAATCTTTTCCTGATATCCAACCTAAACCTCTTCTGCCACAGCTTCAGGTCATTCCCTCGGGTCCCGTCACTGGTCATCACAAACAAGAGATCAGCATCTGCCCCTGCGCTTCCCCTCAGCAATTTGTGGACTGCAATGATGTCTCCCCTCACTCTCCTCCAGATGAACATGCCAAATGTCCTTAACCACTCCTCACAGGCTTCTCCTCAAAGCCCTTCACCATCTTCATATCCTCCTTTGGACACTCTCTAATATCTCAATGTCTTTTTTATATTGTGGTGCCCAAAATTGCCCCCAGTACTCAAGGTGAGACCGCCCCAGCGCAGATGGAGCAGGACAATCTCACTAGCAGTTTTGCATCATGAAAGCTGCAGGGGAGGTCTCTCCTGCTCCATCAGCCCAGAAACGGGGGGTCAGACCCCCACCAAGCCCCCCTTCCTTTGGACACCTCTCCACCAGCGAGCAGGACAATCTCCTGCCTTGCCTGGCTGGTGGTGCTGGGCCTGATGCCCTCTAGGGCACACCTGGCCCCCCTGGCTGCCAGAGCACTGCTGAATGAAGGATTTCCCATCACCCATCCAGCATCCATCACCCATCACCCATCCCAGCACCCAGCTGGCTCCACTCTGGCTTGGTTTGCTCTGAACCCCAATGAAAGCTCTGTCCCAGAGCCAGAAGGGTGGTGGAGCTCTGCTGGTGGGATGGGCTATGGGTAATGCAGTGGTGGAAAGCAGGCAACACCCCAGGGGCAAACCCTCCATCCACCCTGCCCCCTTATCTGGCATGACATTACCCCAAAAGCACTCCTGACTGATTTGGCCTCTCACCAGCAGTTTTGCACCATGAAAGCTGCAGGGGAGGTCTCCCCTGCTCCATCAGCCCAGAAACGGGGGGTCAGACCCCCACCAAGCCCCGCTTCCTTTGGGCTGAAGCCTTACCCGTAATCCTTGACGAGGTGCGGTCTGGGCCCGTTGAGGACGGCCTCGGGGGGCGGCGGGGCGTGGGGCTGCTGCAGGCGGGTCAGGCTGTTCTGCCGGCTGCCCGCGGCCGGCCGGAACACGTGCTCGGGGGGGTTGGTGGCCGCCAGCCCCTCCTTGTGCTCCGCGGGGGCCAGGTGGGCCGCCGGGGCCAGCAGCTGCGCGGGGTGGTTGGGGCTGGCCGGGTACGCTGTCCCAGAGCCAGAAGGGTGGTGGAGCTCTGCTGGTGGGATGGGCTATGGGTAATGCAGTGGTGGAAAGCAGGCAACACCCCAGGGGCAAACCCTCCATCCACCCTGCCCCCTTATCTGGCATGACATTACCCCAAAAGCACTCCTGACTGATTTGGCCTCTCACCAGCAGTTATGCACCATGAAAGCTGCAGGGGAGGTCTCCCCTGCTCCATCAGCCCAGAAACGGGGGGTCAGACCCCCACCAAGCCCCCCTTCCTTTGGACGCCCCTCCAGCAGCGCACGGGCTGAACCTTACCCGTAATCCTTGACGAGGTGCGGTCTGGGTCCGTTGAGGACGGCCTCGGGGGGCGGCGGGGCGTGGGGCTGCTGCAGGCGGGTCAGGCTGTTCTGCCGGCTGCCCGCGGCCGGCCGGAACACGTGCTCGGGGGGGTTGGTGGCCGCCAGCCCCTCCTTGTGCTCCGCGGGGGCCAGGTGGGCCGCCGGGGCCAGCAGCTGCGCGGGGTGGTTGGGGCTGGCCGGGTACGAGTGGTCGGCGGCGTCCGACGCGTAGGACCTGCACACAGGGAGAGCCAGCTGTTGAACTCCTGAGGGAGCTCGGGGGTGAGCTCGGGAGTATTTTGGGGTTCAGACGACAAAACAAGAAAAGGCCATGAAAATATCGATGTACAAGACAGCAGAGTGAGAGCAGAGGGGAGGAGGACACAACAGAGCTGAGCCACTCTCTTCCCTCAGGTGCGAAACGGAAAGTGCTCCGGTTTTATCCCAGTGCCAAGGCTCCTCCGGAGCTCCAGGATGACACCCTGGGGACACCAGCTATCCACAGGCTAACAGCTGAGCACCCCGACCCTGCTGTGGGCAACACGTCCCCCGCAATGACGGAGAGGAAGAGCAAAGCAAAGGAGAGCCGTGAGCTGAAGGTGTAGGAGGTAGAACCTGCCTATTATCTGGGGACAGTGATCCTTCCGATGATGCCATGTGATAGGGGGATGGTGAGAACCTGTTATCCGGCCGGAACTCTTTATCATACGCCATCATGTTCCACTCCAGGCGCCGGTTGCGGGCTTTCCTCACTTTCTTCACCTCCCGGGTGGAGTCCTCCACCAGCCGCTGCTCCTGCGGGGACACAAAGCCACAGCTCCACCTCCAGCCCGGCTCCCTGGACCAGGAGCAGCCCCTGGGGAGCGTCACCCAGCCCTGTGAGATGCACCAGTGCAGGGAATGGGAGCACGGAGGGTGCACCAGGAGGTGGCTGTCCCCAGGTCCCGAGCACTCCCAGCTCCTGCCCCCTGGTCCCCCTCCTGCCCCACCCACCTTCTGCCTGCGCTTCTCCTTCCTCTTGTCTTCTGTCGCCTGCAGCATCTTCTCCTTCCATAAGTTGAAGAAGTAGGAGGGGTCGGTGTAGAATTTGAGGCCATCCTTCTTGTCATCCCTAGGGGTTGGGAAGTGGGGGGAGAGGGTTACAAGCCACAGGAGAAGACCCCCTGCTCCCATTCCCAAGGGCTTTGGGATGACCGTGGCCATGAGCTGTTGCCCCACCACAGACACATCCAACACAGCAGCCACCACCTGCGGGCTGTGGACACATCCCAAGCATCCCACAGCACACAAATGGGGGCACTCCTGATCCTTCTCATGGAAGGGACCCCTCGGGGCCCCAGGGGGAGCCGTGCCCCATACCTGTAGGGCGTGAGGATGTTGAGGGGCGGGGGTTTGTCGCAGCGCTGGTACATCTCCATCACCGGGTTGGGGATGGAGTTGCGGGACACCACCTGCTGGTTCTGCACCGTGGAGCTCTTGAAGGCTTTCCTCATGTTGATGTCCTGCAGTGAAACTGGGGGGCACAGGAAGGACAAGGGATGCAGGGGTGGCCTCAGCCCGCCGAGCACGGCGTGGCAGGGTCTGGTCCTGAGAGCACGTCTGGACATCACCCCAGACCAGCCCTGGCTTCTCACCTTCCTCCACGGTGGAGTCCAGCTGCGTCACCTTGATGACCAGCAGGTCCACCCTCTCCTGCAGTGAGTTCATCCTCATGTAGAAGCTGTTGGCTTCGTTGAACAGCTCTCCAAAGATGTCCTCTGCGTGCCTGCCTGGCAGGGGACAACGCGCCTGTCACCACAGAGGTGGCTCGCCCAGCTCAGCCCATCCCTGGAGCTCACACTGGCTCTGTGGGTGCTCTCCCCAGCCTGGGTTTCTGGGAGCTGAGCCTCATCCTCTCCCAAAGTGATGCAAGGAGGCAGGGGAGCCCAAACAAGCCCCCCTTCCCAGAGAGAGCAGCACCCACTGGGGTACAGAACATTCACAGTGCCCCAGGAGCCCCATGGTCCATCAGGACAGATCAACCAAAAAAATGACCAAAAATCACACAACATGACCTGGGGAAATCAGCCCAGGTAGAAAGCCAAGAGCAGGGCAGTGGGGACAGTGCCAGAGCAGGGAGGATCTGCAATTTGTTTCACTTTATCCTGCATCTCTCAGTGCATCCCTACAACAGCTTATTTATTTATGGTTATTTATTTAGGATTATTTAGCTTTTTATTAGGGTTATTCCTGTCATGGAGCTGAGTGAAGTATCTGGCAGAGCATTCCTGATAGCTGTAGGCTACAGCACCCATCCCATCCCATCCCATCCCATCCCATCCCATCCCATCCCATCCCATCCCATCCCATCCCATCCCATCTCTCCACATCCTCAGGGTTTCCTCCAACCCCACCTCTCAAACAGTTCCCCAGATCAGGGCACTCTCAAACCCCCTCAGAGCACTCACCAGCCTTGTCACATTTTATTCCCTTTTCCCTGGACTAGGAAGCCTGAGCAGACGTGGGTGCTGCTCGTGTGAGCCCCTGCACTTCCAGCAGCTCCCTACACCCTGGGTTTATTTTTCTGGGAGTATTTTAGAGCAGAATCTACTTCTGGAGGTGTGTGAAAGAGGGGGGCCTGAACAGCTTCTCTCTCTATTTTAAGTGGATATTCAGCATGAAATAGTTTGCCCCCATTAAACCTTCATGCTGGTGTGTGCAGTGCTCTCATCTGCCCCTTTCCTGCTGAGATCAGTCCCAGGGCAGGGAGACAGCTGAGGGTTAGACCTTTGATAGAGATCTCTCTTCCTCAAAAAGCTCTAACTTTAAAAAATAGTAGCTTGGGGTATTTTAGATCTTCAGCTGGCCTTCCTATCTGTGGCCAAGTGGAGAGAGGCAAGGGGCTCCTGAAGACTTTCCATCCCCCACTGCACAGACCAGCTATGGGAGGAAAATGGGTCTCAAAATGTCACCAAGTCCCCATTTTGAGCTTGGCAAAAAAAAAAAACCAAACAAAAAAACCCCAAAAAAACTCCCAAAAAACAACCAACACCCAAACATATATATATATATATATAAAAATAAATAAATAGATATAAAAAATATATAAAAATAACTTTAAAACCCCCAAAACCAAACATATATATAAAAAAGATATAATAAATATATAATAGAAAATAATTAATAATAACAACAATCTATTCAAGAAATTATTAATTCTATAAAATTATATGAATAAATAAATATATAATAATTTTTTTAAAAATTAAAAAGTAGGACGATCCTCCTATTTTCAACAAGCTGGATAATTCTCACTCAGGAGTGTCTGCACATGGCTCGCACACAACCCCTGTTTCTCTGGGTTTAAAACTGGTGGGAGTGACTGTGTCACTCCAGTGCCATTCAGTGCCATTCCAGTGCCATCCCAGTGCCATTCCAGTGCCATTCCAGTGCCGTCCCAGTGCCATTCCAGTGCCATCCCAGTGCCATCCCAGTGCCGTCCCAGTGCCATTCCAGTGCCATTCCAGTGCCATCCAGTGCCATCCCAGCACCATCCCAGTGCCATTTCAGTGCCATCCCAGCACCATCCCAGTGCCATTCCAGTGCCATCCCAGTGCCGTCCCAGTGCCATTCCAGTGCCATTTCAGTGCCATCCCAGCATCATCCCAGTGCCATCCCAGCCCCTTCCCAGTGCCATCCAATGCCATTTCAGTGCCATTCCAGCACCATCCCAGTGCCATTCCAGTGCCATCCAGTGCTATCCCAGTGCCATCCCAGCACCACCCCATTGCCATCCCAGTGCCATTCCACTGCCACCCCAGCCCCCTCCCGGTGCCACCCCGGTGCCGTCCCACACCAGGTGGCTGTGCCCGGACTTACTGAGGCTGCCCAGCTGTTTGATGATGGCAGCCAGCGTGCTGTTGGTGACACACTCCAGCTCACTCGTCACCCCATCGGGAAGGGCCCCCCGGCACAGGTGCCGGGGCTCGATGTTCCTCTTCACCAGCGGCATGGCGAGCCCTCACACCTCTGCTGGGAGAGGAGAGGAAGGGAAATCAAAACACACGGCTGCCACCAGTGTCTGTCCCCCCACACCGCCTCAGCCTTCTCCAGGAGGTTCCTCCTGCCCCGCTGGGACACGGCAGGGACAGCAGGATTTTCAAGCAGGGCATGGATCACTCGGGGGGTGCAATCCTTGGGGTGTTGTGGGCACACAGATGCCAGGGTGGAGGTGAGGACTTTGTCCCTACCTTTGTGGCACCCTTTGTGTCCTTTCCCAGAGCTGTTCAAAGCAGGAGCAAGCTGCCCCGTGCTGCAGCCCTTCAGCTGGCCCCGACCAGCCTCGTCCAGCCCAAAGAGAAGCGAGGGAGCGCTTGTAATGCCATTATTTCCAGCTCACTGCAGCCTCTCCAGGGTTTTATTTGTGCACACACTGCACTGAGACAAGCTGCTGTGGCCAGCTCATCCCAGCTCCCTGCATGGCCCCACAGCATCCCTGGGTGCCCCCATAACTCCTGTGTGCCCCCACAGCATCCCTGGGTGCCCCACAGCATCTGTGGGTGCTCCCACAACTCCTGTGTGCCCCCACAGCATCCCTGGGTGTCCCCACAGCATTTCTGGGTGCCCCCACAACTCCTGTGTGCACCCTCACAGCATCTCTGGGTGCCCCACAGCATCTGTGGGTGCCCCCACAGCTCCTGTGTGCACCCTCACAGCATCCCTGGGTGCCCCCATAGCATCTCTGGGTGCCCTCACAGCATCCCTGGGTGTCCCCACAGCATTTCTGGGTGCCCCACAGCATTTCTGGTGTCCCCTGCTCCACTGTCCCCCCCCTGAACTGGGGATGGTTTGTTTTCTACAGGGTTTAAGGAGATGTAGGGAGCCCAAAGGCCTCATCCCCACTGAGGGCACCTGTGGAAGCTGCAGGGATGGGTGAAGGAGGGGCACCCTGGGCTGTGGGGTGCTGGGGACAGGGTACCTCGCTGGTGTAAAGGGTGAATGGTGGGAAACAGGCTGGGCAAAGAGGCAGAAAAGGAGCACTTATTATCCATGGTGGTGTCTCCTGGGACTGGGACACAGACCCTGGCACTGGAACAGAGACCCTGGGACTGGAATAGAGACCCTGGCATTGGGACAGAGACACTGGGATGGGGACACAGACCCTGGGACTGAGGTGGGGACACAGACCCTGGCATTGGGACAGAGACACTGGGATGGGGACACAGACTCTGGGACGGGGACGTAGATCCTGAGACTAGGACACAGACCCTGGGATTGGGACACAGACTGTGGGACTGGGACACAGACCCTGGGATTGGGACACAGCCCCTGGGGCAGGGACATGAAGCTGCAGGGATGCGTGAAGGAGGGGCACCCTGGGCTGTGGGGTGCTGGGGACAGGGTACCTCGCTGGTGTAAAGGGTGAATGGTGGGAAACAGGCTGGGCAAAGAGGCAGAAAAGGAGCACTTATTATCCATGGTGGTGTCTCCTGGGACTGGGACACAGACCCTGGCACTGGAACAGAGACCCTGGGACTGGAATAGAGACCCTGGCATTGGGACAGAGACACTGGGACTGGGATGGGGACACAGACTCTGGGACAGTGACATAGACCTTGGGACTGGGACATAGACCCTGGGACTGGGATGCGGACACAGCCCCTGGGATTGGGACACAGACTCTGGGACAGGGACACAGACTCTGGGACGGGGACACACATTCTGGGACAGGGACATAGACCCTGGGACTGGGACACAGCCCCTGGGACAGGGACACGGACAGGCAGCCACCCCACAGGCTCACACAAGGGGGTCTTGGGTGCCACGAGAGCCTCGGGGCTCAGCCAGTTCCCAGCTGGTGGCTGGGCTGATAAGGACCAGAGAGCACCAGCAGCATTCCCGAGAGCAGAACCCCCCCGTTTCACATCCCCACCGCCCCATCGTTCCCAAAACGCTGGCAGCGGGGAGCAGCAGCTTCCGTCGGTCGCCGTGAGCGCAGCCAGCGCTGCTGCCCCAGCGATCTGCAGAGCTCCCATGTTTTGGCCCCGGCAGCGCTGCACAGAACAGTTCCCCATTGCCAGCACCCGGCCAGCGCTCCCAGCAGCGGCAGCAGCTCCTCCGCTGCTTTCAAATGCAAATCCCAGCTCCCCCCGAGAGGAGCCCGGAGCCTTTCCGAGGGCTGGGCTGTGCCCGGAGGGACCGGGCGCTGAGCCCTCCGCAGGGCTGCCGGGGCTCTGTGTCCCCCCGTGCTCCCCAGAGCCACTGCTCACCCATGTGGTGATGCCCCCGCCTCCCCAAAATCGAGATTGCTGCCGGCTGTTCGCTCCTGTGTGCCGCGCTTGCTCCGGCCATGCACAGCCCCCTCCCCTCCCTGGGCACCCCGAGCCCCCCAGGCTGAGCAAGGAGCTGAGGCAGCTTCACCCCAAGCTGGTTTGGTGTGTGCCCCCAAACCTGCCCTCAGAGGCTGAGCCCTGGCACGTCCCAGGACCGGAGGGCACGGGGCAGAGCCCTTAACGAGCTGCTGGGCCCGGCAATTAGGAACAGGAACAAAGAGCCATTCTCAGCATCCCTCTGGGCCACAGCCACTGGGCACAGCCCTGCCTCCCGGGGCTCTTTGTCCCTGCACAGGGACAAATTCCCGGGGGGAACCGGGGCCACCTGAGCCCGCAGCCCCCCTGCAGCAGAATGAAAGGAAAAAAGGGATTTTGTGGTTTGAAACTTCCCAGCAGGGACAGATTGGAAGAGAGGCAGAAAGTGGGTGAGGGGTGTGATGGCAGCATTTGGGATTGTGCCATGGGAGGGCATCCCTGGAGGAGGAAAATCCCTTTAATCTCACCCCAAAGAGGCCAAACAAGGCTCAGAGCAGAAGGAACCAAGGAGGAGTTTGGCACATTTTTATGCAAGGAGAGCCCGTAAAGGAAATTTTGACCAAATCACAGGAAAATCTGCTTTCCAACCCCCCAGTTAATGGAGGGATCAGAACCCAAGGGCAGCCTCCCCTGACAAGAGTTCTCTCAACCTGCTGCACCAGCAGCACCAAAGCTCTGTCTGCTCACCTAAAACCTGTCATCATCCCTAGGCCTGTCCCGAGTCCAGATCTCTGGACATGACCCCAGAGAGGCCATTCTTCATTTCTGTCCTCTCTGGCACACCTTGCTCACCCACCAAGAGGCTGCACACAAACCCTGAGCACTGAGCCTCAGCAGGGGATGCTGAGCTGTGCCCAGCGCTGCTCCTGCTCCTCCTGGTGTCACAGGTCATTTCCAGCACTTCAAGGGGGTGATTTTGGGTGGCAAAATCTTTTCCTCAGACCTTCAGGAAGAGGTTTCCAAGGGCAGGGATGGTCTGGCTGCAGGCTCTAGGGTCATTTACATGGATTAAAGCCTATGGGATTTCACTCTCTCCTGGGTGGAAGGAAGCCAGGAGCCCTCAGTGGGAAGTGGGGTCAGGATGTAGAAGGAAAATGGGAGCCACAAACTCAGCAGGAATTTCTTGGAGGGTGAAGGCAGGAGAAACGGGACCAGCCAGGGGCTGGTTCAGGTTTCAGGTGCACTGTGGGGATTCTCCCACCACTCAGCTTTTCCCTGTGACTGGAAAGAGCCAATAGCTCTAAATCCTGTACAGGGAAATGCCACAAGTGAGGGGAGACACCCACCAGCTCCCCACCTGCTTCCCAAACCCAGTGGTGCAGCTTGGGAGGGAATCACAGCCAGCTGAGCTGTGAGGCAGGGGAGGACAGAAATGAGCTGTTTATGGTGCCCTAAGATGCTGATTTCCCCCAAGGAACAAAGTGCCAGCAGCACCCCAAACGCAGTGCTGGCAGCACTGAGGACAGCCCTGCTGTCCCAGAGTTCAGGGCAATAAGAGCTGCCCCTGTCCCTGCAGACCAGGCTGGGCTGGGACTTGCAGCTGCTGGCCCAGGGGTGACCCCTGCAGCTGGCTCCTTCCAGATGTTATCCTTCACCTCAGCAGCACCAGCATCTGGCAGCTTGGATCCATCAGGGTAGAAAAGCAGCTCTCATTTTGTAAGACAGTCCAAAAAAAGGGGTTCTGTGTCCAGCTATTGCTCCTTACGTTCTTTGCAACAGCTTTCCACGTGCATAACTGTGCCCTCATCCCCTCCGTGCCCCCAAAGCCACTCTGTCCCCCTGGGCTGTCACTTACAGCCCTGCAGGCAGATCCAAAGTGGCCTGAAGGACTAGCTGTGCTCTGGTGGCCCTGCAAGGAAGGACAGCCTGGTGGCCACAGATCTCCCAGGTGCTGCTTAATCCCTGGGGCAGATTTTGGGTTGGTCAGTGCCTGGCACCTGCAGCCCTGGAGCCCTGCTTGGTGTGGCATGAGAGAGAAAGGAGAGGAGTCCTGGCTCCCACCTTCCTTCACTGAGCTGTGGTGGAGCAGAGGACAGTTCTGGGCTTTGTTTTCCATGGGTGATCCCTGCAGGAGACACCTGAGTGGGAGTGGAGCCATGGCAGAGGTGGGCAGCACTGGGGGAAGGATGCCCAAGCTGCAATCACCAGCTGCAAACGAGGCACCTCCAATGTTTCTGAGGGGATCAGGGGTGCATGGAGCAGCAGGAAGGAGGGAAACCTCCTTCACTCTTCAGACAGTCAGCCCTGAGCTTGGGTTTGGGGAGGATGTGAGTGTGTGTGGTGAAGCAAACCCTCAAGACTGGGAGCTGGGGTCAGCCCTGCCCTAAGCTCAGTTCTAGGCCAAGCTTTGGGGCAGTCTGTTTGCTCAGCCCTTGCAATCAAAGCTCTTTCCCCATTTGGGCTTCCCGGGGTCCTTCTGAGCCCTGAGGAGCAGACACTGCCAGGAACTGGAGGCTTTTGCAAGGCAGCAAATCTTTGGTTGGATGCCAGGAGCCAGAGTAGAGAAAAAAACAACAGTGATGTTGAAAAACCTATTAACCTTGAACAAAAAAGTTTGTAATGAATATGAAACAAGAAGTGCCACATCTCTCTGGTGGTGGCTGCTCAGGACCCTGTTTTGGTGCAGAACCCTTGGAATGGAGGGGTGAGGAAGGGCTGGGG